GAGTGAGAGATGTACTGGTAAAGCAAGGCCATTCACATGAGTAAGTAAGCAAGAGGGAGTCCTTTTGGGAGCCAAACTACGCATCACCCTGCTGACTCCCAGCAGCTGCTGCTCCTGATGATGCTGTAGCTGAGGTGAGGAAGGAAAACTCCTTTTCCTCCATGGGAAGACAGGGTGTTTGCAAGCCCAGCTCATTCCAGAGTCTTGTCTCCTGCATGCCCTCCTGATGGTCAGGTTTCGCAGAGGCTGTGCCAGCAGATGGAAATGTTCCCTCTTTGCGTGTGGAGGGCAGTGAAGAACTTCTCCCCTTCCAGGCTTTCTCTGCCCCTTTCCTTTGCCTGTGTTGAGAAGATGCAAGCGCACTTTGGCAGGGAGCAGGGAGCGCTGGACATCTCAGTGAGTGCAGAAGTGCTTCTGGCTGTAGCTTGGGTGTTCCAAGCCAGAGCTGATCCCAGTGTTTGCACTGCACATGCTGGGTCACGCAAACCTTTTCCTGGCAGTCTTCAGAGAGAAGGGTTTAGCAAGCGATGGCAGGAGCAGGGCTTTCCTGGAGGGTGGGTGGGAGAGAGGGGTCTGCAATCAAAGTACAGACAGAATGTGTGGGCATCACGAAGATCAAGCCAATCAACTCATGTTCAGCCTGAAATTCCAGAGTGGGACGTATCCTGCATGTGTTTGTGGTAGCAGTAGTCTCTGCCTGATGCAGTTGGCTGGACCGCCACACAGGCTTCAGATGTCTTCTTTTTCTGTTCACTTTGACATTACTCCAGACATCCAGGAAGGGTTTTAATGCTGGTGCTTACTGTGGAGGAGGAGATGGGGTGTTGCACACATACCCCCCCTCTCCTAATTGCACCACATGGGTCAGAGGCACAGAGCAGCTCTCCAGGACAGGCACATCCTGAGCAGAGAGATTCATTCTGCCACAAATAGTTCCTGGCTGTGCCTCCTCTCCTGCCTGCATTGGGCTGGTACGGGTGCTGGAAGTGACACCTCACCGCGATGACTTGGAGTCTTGCATGCCATGCTAGGGAGGGCTCCAGGTGATGCCAAGGAGCCTCCTGGTGCCATCTCCCCACCGCCTGCTGCTCCTGGGGGATCATGGAGATCTGAAGGTTGCCAAAGGCTCCCCTTTTCATGGGGGGATGAAGCAAGAACCCCCCCTTACCCCAAGTCCCTTCTCCAAGCCCTATTCCCATCGGCATCGCGGCACCTTGGCCGTGCCGAGCGTGGCTGGCACCATCCCTGTCCGTGCTGCCGGCGCAGGGAGGGCCAGCTCGGCGGGCAGCAGCCCTGCCAAGGCCAGATGGTGTTTGTGAGCAGCGCCAGGTCCCAGCTGAGCGCTGCCCGGCGAGACGCGCGCGGGAGCCACCGCCGCAGCCGGCGCTGCCAAGCCCACGGCATATGCTGAGCTCTGCCCTACACCTGCCCATGGGCAGCCTCGCGTGGCGCCGGCGTGGAGGAAGCGGGAGAAGCCGCAGCCCCATCTGGAAGGAATCGAGCGGATCAACGAGGGGGACGAGAGCCGAGAATGCAAGCGTACTATAAGTGGTGGTGCAGGGGGAGATGCGGCAACCCCGGTAAGGTCGTGGGGTGCATGGGAATGGGGTGGCCGGCACATGCCCCCTCTGCATGGGGACCCCCATCTGCACCAGGATCCCCCTTTGGGGGCTGGACCAGATGATATTTAAAGGTCTCTTCCAACCCAAACCACTCTGCACAGCTCTGCCACATCCCCACCAGCGCCAGCAGAAGGAGCTGGGAAACTGCTAGGGGATATTTAGCTTCTCAGGAGCAAACCCCAAGTGATCATAAGAAAAATGGATGGGAGAGTATACTTGCTGCCTGTTTTGAATTTGCTTTGGTAAACTGTATGCAACAGGGGCTTGGGTCTATAATTTATTGAAAGGAACCAGACTGGAAACCAGCTTCATACTGTGAGTAATTTCTAGCATCGCTGTAATCTATCACTGGGAGACAAGGCACTTTGTTCCTCTGAAAAATTGTTTTTTATAGTTGGCTTAGTAACAACAATTATTGTTATTAATATTAATAACTACTTGTGTAAGGCCTTTCTTGTGTGGTTTAGAAAGAATTTTGTACATGGGTCAATAGGAGTTAAGGGGCATCTCGTGGGAAGGGAAGCCGAGGCACAGATTTGGCCGCTGCCTTGCGTAGACTGACCCTGGCACGCAGCATCCTTACTCTCAACATTCAGCTTGGTCCATTAGATGCTGATTTCCTTTGTGTATATCTGAAATATTTGAGGATTTTGTAGTGATGAAAGAGCAGATCAGGGAATTATTTTGTTTTAAATTTGGGTCTGCTTAGATTTAAAAAGTTATTAAGAAAACTCCAGAAAGAAATAGCCCTTGCCATGCCATGGTAGCTGGAGCTGGTGTGCAGGTTGTCCCCCTTGTGCTGCAGCTCATCCCCTGGGAGAGCACAGAAACAAACACATCTGAACTCAGAAACAGTGGCTCAAACCTTTCCTCCATTTAGTTTTAATGTAAGGGAAGTACGAAGTTTTAGAAGCCTTTGATTTCTCCCTGACTGGCTCCCTGGTGTCTGCCCTGTGGCCACGGGACACCCCTCCTTAACTCCGTGCTGCCAAGCTCACCAGTTTGGCTAATTGGATAACACAGTGTCACCTCACAGGGATCTCCCCAGTCTCACTTGCCAGAGTGGAAAAATGTCATTTCTGCATAGAAAGCAGCAAAGACCTGCTGCTGAAAGCACACTGGGTGCTGGGGATGGGGGGAAAGTGCCCAACTTGGCTCCAGTAGCAGACAGATATGGATGGGGACACCTCAACATCATCCTCTCCACTGCTTAGGCCATATGCAAGCTAAATGTGGCTGTTCTGGACATGTGTGAACTTACTGTAATTTAGGGAATGAAACTACTCCAGGTGATAATTGCATTCTTCTATGGAACTGGTGTAAACTTTCTATCCATACGTTGTTCAAGATGCTATTTTAGCTGTAACGAGAGAGTTCCTAAGCTGAACTTTATCCCTGTCTCTTTTCACTTCTTGCTTTGTAGCAATAACAATATTTAGACTTTATGGAGCATTTTACATCTCCAGAGTCCATTTGCAAGTATTAACTAACGTACCCTTGGGTCACTCCCATGAAGTGGAGGAGCACAGCAGTGTTATCTGCATTTGCAGGTGGAAAAGTCAAGGCAGGACAGGCGGTAGGACAGGATCAGGACTGAAGCGTAGGCTTCCTGCCTGGCCTCAGGCAGCATCCCTCAATGCCTTTTTGTGGCCCACCATCTCTGGGTTCGCTTGCAAATGTTCACTTCCAGTAAGAAAAGTGGGTAAAAAAAAGTAAATAAATTAGAAGAAATACTTTTTTTAATTAGGAATTTTAGCTTTCTTTTGGCATTTCTCTGTATTTCTTTAACGCAATGAAGAGCGCTCAGAGCAGAGCAGTGTTCCTTAATCCTGTACAGCAGTAATATAATCTGCATTTGTTTGGAGCCATTCAACCTAAATCATCCCTGAGCACTGAAGCTGACATGCATGCAATGCATGGCAATAAATCCAGCCTCCACCTCGATGGAGGCACTTCAGTTAAAACACAGCGAGACAGCCCTGGCACCAGTGGTGCAGGGAGAGGACACTCATTCCCTTACCCAGCAGCACATGGAACTGAAGCCTTTGCAGAAGATGCCCATTTCTGCTCAGTTTGCTGTGCTGGAGTCAGATGAGTAGGTCCATGATCCCTGGGCATGTGTTGCCGGTGCTGTCCATCTGTCCAGGGTTTCTGGACATTAGCAGTTCCATCAGGGTCATGCAACATCCGCATATCCCTGGAAAACCCCCCTTTTCCACCTGGATAAGAATTCCGGGAAGGTGTGTTGGAAGAGACACAGTGTGTGGTGGTGGTAGTTAATTATCCAGCATCCCAACGGGACTGAGCTGTCACTGTCACCGCTAAGGCTGGAGAAACAGAACCATGGGGAGGGCAGCGTCACGGCCCCCCTCACACGCAACGCCAAGCATCAGATGGAAAAGCAAAGTGTTTATGCTGCCAGACCCATCATCTCTGCCTGCAGAACCTAGAGAGGAGGCCAGGCAGCAGCACATAATGGTTTACTCCCACCCCCAAGTTTTCTCCTGTTTCCCAGGACTTTCGAGGGTTTCTCTCCATCGCGGGTGAGGAAGCCAACAGATGGCACTGTGCTGTTTCTGGAGGAGCTCAGCCTTGCTGGAGGCCAGGCAGGGATTCCAGGATGCTGGAAAAGCATTGCACTTCAGGGAAGTTTCCCCATTGCGGAGGCACAGGGAAAGTTTCCTTGTGGTCCTGCATCCACCCACCCGGAGCTGCTTTCGCCCCAGCCATGATGCAAAGCAAAAGTTACCAGGACATTATCTGATAACTGGAAACAGGATGCAAACCATTCTGCAAACCAGGTCAGTGTTAGAAAAGCTCAAACTCCCATTAAGAGCATTCTTCTCCCTGCAGCCCCAGATGCAGGCACCCCCCCAACACTGTGCTGATACCCAGCTGAGGAAACCAACTGTGGGAAGCTGATTGGTTTTGGTAGGAGCCACAGGATGGATGCGTCAGCCGGTGGCCCTCATCTGGACTTTGCCTTTAGCCCCAGGGGCTGCTGCTGTTTGGGACCGGCAGAGCAGAGGTGAGGGATGGGGTGATGCTGGGCTTGGTTCCTGGCAGACAAACCCTGCCTGTTCTTTCCATCAAGCCTCCCCTGTGCCAGAGCACTCTTTATTTTACATGTCCTGCAGGTTTGCACTCATTGCTCTAGAAGCAGAGACACATTGATGGCTCCAGGCGTAGGTTTGTGCCTTGTAGCAGTGTTGGGTGGGTGGTTTGGGGTGAGCTACCCCCCCTGCTCCAAATGTGCCTGTTTTCCAAGCTGAATCTCTAACTCTTTTCCAGACCGGCATTGGGATGTCCTGTGGAGCCATTCCCCAGTGTTCCCAGTCCTACCTGGTGGGTATCACTGTCATCACTGACATGTTGTTTCCACCTTCTTAACAAGCTTCTATAGCCTGAGACCTCCCTGTGTTGATATTGCATCCTCCAACCTGCAATGGGAAAAGCTGGGCTCCAAACCCAGCATCGGGAACTGCTCTAACCTGGTAGCCACATCTGAGCAGACACAGATGTCAAGGTGGGGGGAACTCAGGTATACAGCCCTATTTTTTTGCCTGCAAGGCCTTTTCTAGCGGGCAGGACCAGCAGTGAGTGCACACCACAGCTCTGCACCCTGCCGTGCCGTCTCTCCGCCTTCTCCTTCCTACAGTTTGCCATTCTTTCTTTCCTCCCTCCCTCTTCTGAAAGCCCTCACAAGGTCCAATCCAGTGGAGGTAAACAGTGTTTTCTGCCAGGTCCTGAGCATCCCTGTCTCTCATGGAGCCTCTGCACACCCTCCAAGGACGTGTTCAGCATCGCTGTTGTACCCAGCTACCCCCTGCACGTGATGGGCTTGACCCCACTGCGGTCCGATGCTGCCTTTCAAATCGCTGAAGCCAAATTAGGGTAAGTAGTTATATTAGGCTGACCTCTGCCTTGTCAATCTTTACATCATTCAGAGGCAATTTAGCCTATTCATTCATAACAAGAGGCTATTGATTGAATAATCTCTGTTATTAGCGTTTGGGTAGAACTTGCTCTTGGTTTTATTTTATTATTAGCTTGGTGTGTTTAGCTTAAACCCGTTTCTCTTTTGCCCTGCTGTAACTGCAATTACTGTAAAGAGTGTGAGCAGATACTTGATTAAGCTTTACAGAGATTATTACAAAGCAAGGCCTCTATCCTAATGCACATATTTCAGGAGAAATAGCATAAAGAAGAAGCATGCATGTGTGAATTCCTAGAATCTGCAAGCACAATTTATCCTTGCAGGTCAATAGCTCATATTGTCTGCGCTGCGAAATTGTTCAAACATATACAATGCTCTCAAAACATTGCTTAATTAGATTCTAGAGAACATTGACACACAAACAAAAGATATTAATATCAAGGATTTCAGCATCAAATGTAGTTTACACAGATCAAAGAACATTTTGGGTCCAAAGAGGTTATGCGTCTGACAGGTTGTTACTCCACAAGTGAAGAATATGACAAGAGGGGGAAGCAGTGATCAGAGAGCGGAGCACAAAGAGGAACGAGTATGGGCTCGTGAGGGACATGGGGAAGATGAAGCTGCAGAAAAATTAAAAGGAAGATTACTGGAGATGCAGGGAAAACACCTTACAGAAAACAGTGACAGATTCTGTGGCAACACCCCCTAAAATGGACATGATGCTTTTGGGGGGTATAGGGTTGTGAATTGCTTGTTGCAGGGTAGAATAAGACTTGTCCTCTTTCATAGGGATGGCATAGTAAGAGTAACATCCAAATCTCAGATATGTGTTTCTGGACAAAACCTTTCTCAAAATGGATGGCTAAGGTCTGAATGGAGACTTAGTCCTTAGCTGGGAGCCTGTTATTGCTTAGCCATTTGATGTGGTTGGTGCTGCTTGAAACTGGAATGAGGCAGTGAAGAGGGGAAGGAAGGGGATGTGGAGGTGAGCTGAAAGAGACATGAAATGACAGGTATAAGCCAGAGGTGAGTTATCAGAAGATGTGCAGTCCTAGCCAGGCCTGGGATCTTGGGTGGCAATAAGGTAGGAAAGGGTACAAATAGAGTTAAAAATTGTCTGTCCTGAGTTTTACAAATGCTGCTGAGAATAAGTGACATACCTGCCTATGCCCAGCATGGGGGAGATTGATGATCTCCTTGGGATGTGGGTATCCTGTCCCCATCACCTTGAAATAGCTGCAGGGCCTGGGAGCAGCTTCCTGGAGCCTTGGTGATCCTGGGACAAGCAGGACTGCCCCAGACTTGCAGCCTCAACTGGGAAAATGTTCAGTCTGGTCAATGGGATCTTAATTCAGCTCATCCACCACACCTGGAACAGGAAATTACTCTCTGGTAGCTACCTGGAACAGAAGCAAGGACCTGGAATGAAAGCATAGGAAACGGATGTAAGGGCAGGCACAGAGTAGCTGTCCAGGAAAACAAGCAAACAGCTAAAAGAGCAAGCTAAGGGAAATCAAAGAAATTGACTTAAAATACATATGACTGAGAAAAAAAATAATAAGGCAAAGCTGTATTTAATGTCAATATTGTTGTAGTAGTCTGAGAAACCATGGATAAATAAAAACAGATGGTGGATTGATCATACAACACCAAGGAAGGCACTCGTGAAGAATATTTTCTTCTCGCGGCACACAGACTCATATGTGCGTTTCTCGTTTACTTTAACGGGAGTCATGTTTGCAAACTCCTGTGTTTTGAGAAACTGGAAAACCTCAGTGGTTAGGGCTTGTTTTGACACCACTGTTTCCTTTTTCCCCTGGAAAGTATTCGTTTCTGTTTCAGAAGTGTTCCACCTGCATATTGCACTATATATCACAGCGACCTGCCAAACCTGAAAACACGCTGACAAATCAAGGGCTGGCATTTTAAAACATAGGTGACCTGTAGCATTACTGAAGAGCACCCTCTCCCTTCAGCTTTTACTAACAAGCCCTAAAAGCAAACTGTCCCTGTTGCTTCTGACAAAGGGATTGCCCTCATCCGCATGCTGGCGGAGCTACTGGGACCTGCATCTTGGTCCTAAGAGTGCTCTCAGAGCCAACCACATTGGAGCAGCTCAGCTCCTTGCCTGACTTTGCATCTATTGACTTTTCTATGTGGATAACGCATCATGACATCCCACTTCAAAATTTGGGAGGAGAAAATCTGCATCACGATGAGCTACATATTCCTGGCACAGAGGGCACACTATTAGGCCCTATTCCAGAAGATCATTTAAACATGAACTTCCTGAACAATCTTATTTTTAATAGGCTTTTTCGTTAGGTAGGTCCTTAGCTATATTGTGGGTACAGAAACAGGCAATTTGTCTATCACTAGTTCTCATTGCTGTGGTAGGTAGCCTTCAGTGACTGAAATAACATCCTTAACGTCCCCATGAAAATGAATTATTTGTCTTAAAATGTATATCCTATCATCGAAATCAAAGTGGGAGCAATAAAGAAGTGGCCAAATTCAAAATCATCAGAGTATGTTCAATTATGTGCCATTTTTATCCCAACTTCAGCTCACATCATCAACAGGAATCATAAAAACTTCTTGTTCCTTCTCAGAGAGCACATGGGATGCCATGTTGCAGCTCTCTGGAGCAATGGTAGGACGTGTCATCCATGCCATGCTTTGGCACAACTGTACGTTCGAGAGGAAACAGGCTCAAGTTCCTCCAGGGGAGGCTTAGGTTGGAAATTAGAACACATTTCTTCACCTGAAGGGCTGTCAGGCATTGGAACAGGCTGCCCAGGGAAGTGATGGAGTCACCATCCCTGGAGGTATTTAAAAGGTGTGCAGAGGGGCATTAGGAACTGCAGTGACAGGACAAGGGGTAACGGGTTAAAACTTAAACAGGGGAAGTTTAGATTGGATATAAGGAGGAAGTTCTTTACTGTCAGGGTGGTGAGGCACTGGAATGGGTTGCCCAGGGAGGTTGTGAATGCTCCATCCCTGGCAGTGTTCAAGGCCAGGTTGGACAGAGCCTTGGGTGCCATGGTTTAGTGTGAGGTGTTCCTGCCCATAGTGAGGGGGTTGGAACTGGATGATCTCAAGGTCCTTTCCAACCCTAACTATTCTATGATTCTATGTGGTGCTTAAGGACATGGTTTAGTGGTGGACTTGGCAATGCTAGGTTAATGGCTGGACTGGATGATCTTAAAGGTGTTCTCCAACTGAAATTATCCTATGATTCTATGAATCAGAATGCTGCTAAGTGTTGTCTATTCATGGCTATGAGCACCCTGAGCTGGGGAGCATCAGCAGAGTAGGGACAGGAGACTGTTGTGTTCTACCAACAGGTAAGTAGATCCAGTCTTCCAGTGGAAAAGGTGGACCAGTTGCTTATGGGGAGATGCAGACAAAACAAGGGCAGGGAATGGCACTGCCTGCCAGGCAGAGGTGGAAAAGACTTATGGATATTTGGCTGAGGGCTGCAAAATCCTGAAGGCAATTTATAAGCTAAACAGTCATTCACCAAATCCTGTAATAGTAGAACGGGGGCATTCAATTGAAAACAGTAAGAGATTAAGTTTGAGATAGATAAAAGAAAACATTTCTGGACACGGCAGGTAGTGAACTTTGGGAACTTACTGCCACAGGAGGAAAAGGGGATTAGACAAACTCATGGAAACAGCTTTATAAGTGACATCTAAAATCCCTGGGCAGGGAGCTGGGAAGCACAACAAGGGTGGAAAGTGTCCCAGGTAGCAGGCTCTCCTGAAATACCATCTCCTGCTGTGCCCATCAGAGACAGTATGCCAGGCTGGATATCTTGCCGGATGGGGCCAGCCAGGGCATCCCATTCACTCAGCTTTCTGGATGAGCGTTTCTGCTGCAGTACATGCACGGGACCGGCATTCTTCTCATGCCAGGCTTTCAAGGGATATCGCCCCACAGCTTATTCTGCATCAAGGAGCAAAGCTGGTGGTGGTGGAATTCACCCCCCATCCTTGGGGTAGGGGCTCTGCTGTCCCCCTGCTCTCCATCCTTCCCATACTGAGCCTAAGCGATGGCAGCTGCCCGGAGAATACCTCGGCGCTCCAACATAAGACACATGGATCAATTAGCTCAGTTGCTGGGTTTCACTTTTGGATCAATTAACTGGAACTGAAATCAACTAAAAATATCCTTTGCTTATTAACAGACTGAGCTAATTGCAATAAAAGGTGGGGGAAAAAAGAGAAACACAGAGATGCTATTTGTCACTGTGAATCTCTGCCCTCATCTTTATTGCAAATATCCCTCATTTACTGGGCAGACTAATGACTCTAAAACCTCCAAATTGGTAGTGTCATCCCATGATGAGGCAGCTAGGCTTCCCACCATCCCCAGCACATCCTGGCTCTGCAGCGCTGGGGTGGGACCTGACCAGGACCTGCTCTCATCTCCACCACCCCTCCTGCCCTGTCTGCTCCGTGGGGCCTGGTGGCGTTCATCCCTCTTTGTCTCGCCTTCCTTCCCTTTGTTTCTGGATCCAGTTCTTTGTTTGCCTGGTTTTTCCCTTTTTTTCTGTTTGCATCCATCAGTCCTCTGTTGGCTTCTCCCTTCTCTTTCCTTCTTCGTGCATGCCCAACCCTGTCCCAAGGATTTCCATTCCCCAGCCCTTTCCTCCTCCCCTCTTTCCCTTCCTTCTATCCACAGTGCTATCCACTCCTTCCCTCTGTCTTCCCAGCTGCAATTAGAGCTAATCAGATACCTGAGCAGCTCTGCAAAGCTATTAGTGGCTTCCCACTCATCCCAGGGGAGGGGAGCAGAGCTGGACAATTAGGCTTTTCCATGCAGCCCCCAGTCTGATAAACACAATAAACAACACAGGGTGATGGGCACATCTCTGCTATCAATGGGACTGCACTGGTGAGCATCGTTGGACAAGCCGGTTGTCCCATGGTTGGGACCCAGCATTTGGGATGCTCCCAAGGAGCACACCCGGATACCCTGCTCCTGCCCTCACTCCGGATCACCCCATTATAGGAACCCGAGGGGTGATTTTGGTGGGGGACACGGCCTCTCCTTGCAGGGCTGATGCGTGGTGTTTGGTGCAGAGAATCTCTCCGCTCGCTCCGCAGCTCAGCACACCCCTCCTGCTGCTGGATCTATGAGCTGTGTGTGTGTTTTGTAATTAAGCAGTTAATTGCACTGGAGTTCTTGATTAGCTTTGGGGGATGGTAATGTTCTAGCAGGATGAGATGTTGTGTACAGTTCAGAATCATTTACAGAAATTGGAGCTAATTTTGCTGTCTGTGCTTATTACTGCATTAATTTAATTTGGGTTGCTTTTAGCTCATTAACACATCTAATTAATTCGTTGACATCACTATTAAGATGTCTCTTTGAAATTGGCGTCTCCAGATAATCAGGATGGAAGAGGCTGACAGATCAGGCGCGAAGCTGACTGGGAAAATGGGGAAGGGAGGAAAAAAAAGGGGACGACTAATGAATTTTCCATCAGAATCACACAGTTTGTCAGAGTTGGTATCAGAGAGGCAGAGACGGAGCTAGTGAGACGGAGAAAGGGCATGAGAGAGACAGCAGTGGTAAAGGAAGACTAGTTCTTTCAAAAACATTATATTTGTTAGGAGAGCAAGCAAGACACGAGAGGACAATAAATATTCTTTAGCAAATTGACATCAAGGCTGCCTATTTCTTAGTTAATTTTCCTCTCTCCCTGGTTTTCCGTTGTGGCCTTTTGGCTGATTTCATCTTTTTTTTTTCCATGCCACGAATGATTTTGTAACACCCGTGCTGTGGGTTTTGATGGACTGAGTGTGATGCCCCTTCTGATGCTGTGGGTGCTGCTCTGCTGCAGAGGGGGGGAAGGCTACATGGATGGGAGACCATCCGTATCCCATGCTGCTGTGAGTGCCAAGTTCAGGGGATGGACAGACATTTGCAAGCAATTAAATTCTGGTTGTTTAATGAGTTAGCACATATCAGCAGAGCCTCAGTATCTGGCTGTATGCTGGCCTGGCTGCATTTGTGAAAGAAAACAGCTTAGATTAAGCCTGCCTTCACCGCTAGCAGAAGATGTCTTACAGGTTTGTGGCCCACTGGGTTGGGTGGAAAGTCACAGCAAGACCATGCACTGGTCCAGGATTTGCTGGTCCCATATGTGGGCAGAAGACCCAAAGCTGGAAAATAATCTGCATTATGAGCAAATATGAGCAAACCCAGCAAAATGAGGCTGGCAGCAAAGAGGCAAATAACACCTTCCATCAGGCAAGGGTTGGTGCTTTTGTCCAGGACATAAACTCACAGCCCATTTTTGGGTGCAGCCATGAAGATGATGCTGTGTCCTGAGCCTGGGTAGTAGAACGGCTCAAGAATTGTCCTTTGGCAGGGGCTGGAGTTAGGTGTGCTTCTAGAGAGCAGGGAGAGAAGAGAAGGTGACATGGCCCCTACTCCATGACATAGGCTGATAAGAATACAGTACATGCTTAAAATGACTCAAAAAGAGCTGCTTTTCTGGCTCCAGGACCCAAATTTGGAGGGCTGATGTGCTCCCCAAGGACAAGCACAAATTTGGAGCGCAGCTGGATAAAGACGTACAAGAGTGGTGGAGGGTTTGCACAAAGGGCAGAAATATTACAGGCAGAATAAAAGCAGAAGGGCACAGGGGGGCTCTTGTGGGAGAGGTGAGAACTGGGGGAGTCCTGGTGTTAGGAATATTTACTAAAAGGAGAAGCAACGCTTGAGGAGCAGGTGGGGTAACACTGGACAGGGACCCTTTCCTTTCTCTTCAGCCCTTCCAATGTCCACCTCTTCAAGGCACAGCCCTGAGCACGCAGCTGAGCTCTCCAACCTTTTGGGTTTTCACTGTTCTCATTATGATTTCCCTCTTTCCCCCAGATTTGCCCAGAAGCCCCTGGTCAGCACAGTGCAGAGCCGGGACCCTGAGTGTGACCATGCTGCCATAGTGGGAAGCTCTTCCCTCCTTTAGTTCCAGACAACTTCTTCCCAAAACCATGGAAGTCCCAGACATGAGGGGAAGGGATAGCAGACACAGGTATGTTTGGAGGTTGATTATGGTTTTCTCACGTAGATAACCCTGTCCGATTGCAGAAGACACAGCCTCTTTCTGTTCCACATTCCCTGTGATAAGGGGGATAGAAACAGGAGAAATAGCCCCCAGAAAACCACTTCATCCATGGTTTTATCCCTTTTGGATTCACAGAACCCCCCAGGTTTTCACAGTGCGTGTGCAGACCCCTCCATGCACTTAAAATTTGTGCTGACTGCCGGCAAACCAGCTTTTCTCAGTTACCTTCCACAACCCCGATGGGTCCCTCTGGAGTCTGTAGGCAACACATTGAAACCACCAATCTAGTTAACTCAGCACACTTCCAACCGCATACTGGATGCACCAGTCAGCATGCTTGTCTCTGGAAGCATTTTCAATAGAGATAGTAACATTATCTGGCCAACAAACATAATGTTCTCTTCCCACCATCCCTTTTCCCCTCTCTAGGGAGATGCAATGTGGATGGAGGCAATAGAAGGAGCATTTTCCCTGGGAATAGCTATCCTGCAGAAAGGCTTTTGTAAAATGGATTCAAACTAATTGATTTTAAAAGAGAAGAAGATCTCAAGTTACAGTAGGAAGGCTGCTGTGGAGGGAGAGGATGATTTTAAAGGATCTGTGCATTGCAGCTGATTCCATGGGTGGACCTTGAAGGCTCTGAGATCAGTGTGTGCCCTGCTCTCTGAACCCAGGCAGGGAAGCCCTGTGCTTCTTGCTCCAGGGACATCCCTGTCCTCATCAGACTCATTGTCTGTGTGCCCTCTCAGGCTTGAAAAGCCAAATGGAGAAAGCAATTTCTTCCTCACAGTGATTGCAAGCCTTGCTGAGAGTGAGAGGCTGGGGAAGATCGTAGGCAGGAAGATTTGACTGCGGGAGAAGAGACTCCAAGTCAGGGTCTAGGTGGTGGTGAGGGGTTGCAGAGGTGAAATCCCCATCATTGCTTTTGTTCCTTGGCTCAAACCTCACTTGGGAGAAGCTTGTGTTGATGGATGGAGATGAAAGAGAGCCAAGACATTCTCATTGCAGAGATTAAGGGAGTTGAGCTGTGTTCTGCACCATAGGATGGGTAGGGGAAGGCTGTGTGCTCTCGCCAGGGTTGTCAGTCTTGGAAACATGCATCATGTGTAAGTATCTACCTGGTTTTCAAAGGTCCCAAACCAGACTGTGGCCAAATTATAAAAGAAGATTGGTTTTAAGAGCACCTTTTCTGTCAGTCCTGGTTTGCCATCAAGCTAAAACACTTAGGCTGGTGGCACCACTGATGCTGTTATCTGTTCTCCTTCCCAAACAGAGATCAAACCCTCCTTTCCGCCCACCCCAAAAGAGAGAAGCACAGTATCATACTGAATGCACCGTCAGTCTGAAAAGCCACAGAAGTGAATTGCATTGGCTTCCTGGGACTCCTTGCCCAACAGCAATGCTAAAATGGAACATGTCTGCAGGTTTCTTCTCCTAACTGTGGTTTAGGAGTTAAAAAACTCAAGAGTATCCCCACATCCTCAGTCTAATAAAGTAAAGCCAAGCAAATCTTTCTCCCCTGCACCACAAGGCTCTCCCTATGAGGAACACAAGGCAATTTACTCCAATCCTGAGCTGCAGTTTCCACCTGGAGAAGTTTGCTCAGATTTCTATTCAGTTTCATTCAAGGGAAGAATATTAGAAACTCCACTCTTTAGCACTTCATTAAACACTTTAGTTTAATAGCATCCTCCAGGGAATCCCAATCCTGGGCCACGTGAGCCAGGAGTAAACAGCTGCATCAATTAACCCCATAATCTCAAGGGTGCTATTAGAAGGTGAGATACCCTTAGAAAGTGCATATGCCTGCAATTAGGCTTAAAATACTTACGTGTCAATAGCATTAGTTATTTGTGCTCTCTGCTATTGATCTTGCTTATGTTTTCCACATTAAACAGTCTTTCTTATTTCATCAATAAATTAAGTGCTGCTTAGATTTATTCACTTTTTCTATCAGATGGTGCAAACTCCCAGGCTCCTGACCCTGACCTGGCTCTGTCTGAGATGAGGGGCTCCAAACCTCTTCACCAGCAGCTCCACCTTGCTTCTGTTTCAGGAGCTGGGGAAAGCAACAGGGGGAAAAGAAATGCAGGAGCTGCTGGCCTGGATTGACCATTAGCACAGCCCAGGCAGGGCAGAGGAGGTGGTTGGGTAGGCTGGAGATACAACTTTATGTGTTTGTTTTCCTGCCCAGGTCAGATTTGGAGAAGATCTTAGAGGTCAGCTTTCAACACCACGAACATAATAGGAATGATTTGGTTTCTGCCACACAGGGACTTTGTGAAGGGGCAGGATCTACAAGACAAGACCATGGAGATGAGGTCCTCCCTCACTTTTCTTCTCATTAAAAGGCTTTGGGAAGACCTTTAAGTCCTCTGAAATGGCAGCTGAGCAGGCAGGGAGCAGTGCTGCCAGGTGAGATGAAGTCCTCTCTTTTTACTCCTCATACTTTCCATCAGCTTCATTACTGACTACAGCCTCTTTCAGATGATGTGGCCCAAAGCCACGCGTGTGCATTGACAGAAATGGGACAGTGCTCAGTGTTCCAGGCTGGAAGCTGGGACTGCTCTGGGACAATCAGGTATTCCTGGGTGTCAGAAAGATGTGAAATAGTGGAGAGATGTTTGGCTGCAGAGTTGGTTGAGAGGAGGGCTTGAGGAGGGAGAAGGTTTTATGACTGTTCCGTATTTGTAGCCTGACTTTTAAGTCCTAATTCTTACTCGTAGGGACGTGGACCAAGGCTGTGGTCCTGCTGCAGGGTAAGTGTTGTGCTGAGGGTTAAGTACACTGAGCAAAACAGCAGCTCTTGCCGAGGGCTGGTGGCATCATATGCTGAAAATACCTACTGTCCTTTTCATTCCTTCAGTTCTCCAAGAGTCTTTGCTTGTTTCCACCAGCTCCCCTGGAAGGCCTGTTGGCTTTCTGTAAGGAAATTGCACAACTGTTTTCATGGAAAATAATTCTGGAGGTTATTTTTTGTTTCCCTTGGTCATCCTGGCTTTTCTGTGCTATGCTGAATGGGGTTTCATGAAGAGCACGCATGAAACAAGGAAAACTTAGGGCATTTAAAAGAACAGTCTTCAAGATTGATTGAATTGTTTGCTTTGGTGCTCCCCTGCCCATCTGGTGTGTATTGGTGCATGGAAAATGGTATCTTTGACCAGGCTCTCCTGACCAAACACAGTCCGGCAGGCCCTTGTTGTTACAATAAAGCCGCATGCTACTTTCCATAACTCATTAGCCCCTTAGTTTCTGGATTAATTCAATGTGCAAATAATGCCACAAATTGAATATTAGTAGACTTCTATAGAGGCTTAAGCGGCAGTAAAAGCATATCACTGTGTCTTCATTTTGCTTTGCACAACTGTGGTTTGTCCAGCGTAGCAAGTGCTTAGTTAACTACCCGATAGCTCGACGCCTTCTTTCCCATGCTGGTTTTTCATGCAATAGCCCAGCTATTAGAAGGGAAAACTCTTGTGCTTGTAAAAGTGGGGGTACACAAAATGAGCCTCCCTGTTAGCACTGCACAGTGCCCACCATCTCTTTTAAAGAAGAGCTGGATAGCCCTAGCTCTTCTACAGTTGCTCCCACAACAGCCCATGGTTAGCTGATGGACTCAGACTTAAAGACTTCACCTGCATCACTGTGTGGATTTTGCAATGCATTTTATCACTTCTCATTCTCTGCAGACACAAAATCTGGATGGGATTGCTTAAACCAGCCTGAGCATCCCTATTGCTGCAGAGATGAAGCAGAATAGTAGCGTTTGGAAGGGGTACAATGTCCCATCACAGCCAAAGATCTCCATGGGGACCCCAGAACCTGCTCACAAAGGTCTAGTTGAGAGTTTGGGACCCATGGTGGTCACTGCAATGCAAACGCAAGACCAAAGCTTTTAACTTCAGCTGTGTTGGTGGTTTCAGCATGGGGAAGATGGCTCCATGCCATGAGAACTTTCAGGGCATTGCTGAGCAAAATGGGTGCAGCTTTCTTTTAATGCACTGAAGTGGAGGCAAATTTCAATCTAATAATGTAAAGAAGCAATAACCATTATAATTAATTTATATAAAAGACATTATAAAATTACACTTGATGCATTTAAATCCCATCCAGGAGCAGTGCTCGTTTTCCAGTTAAGCTATGGGCTGTGCTAAGGCAGACGGGGAAAGAGGTATTTCAATATTTCTTATAATTTTATATTCTTTCTAATATCTCTCATGCTAATTTCATTATGCAACACAGTCAGCACAGTGATGTAATTATTGAAAAGTAATTTTGCAATAAATGGATTTAAATGTGTTCGAGTCCATTGTAAATTCAATCCCTTGGTAAAGGTGGATTGAACAAGCAGGAGAAAGGGAGCAGGGACGTTGCTGGGTGAAAACTGAGAAGTCCTGGGCGTCCCACATCGAGCATCTCCTTACACCAGCTAATAACATCCACTTCAGATGGAAGCCTCTGGTGGAGCCAGCCCTCCCTCCCCTTGAGCCCCCAAGGCTGCTGCTGGCAGGAGAACTTCCAACCTTCACCGTGGGGGGAATTTTGGATCAGCCAAGTCTCCTTCCAGAGCCAAGGCAGTGCTGTTGCTGGGTGTCTGTGCCACTCTTAGCTAACTGGGTCCTGTGTGGGTGTCTTAGTCTGGATTAAGGGCTCAGTTACTGGGCAGGGACATAAAGATATTCTCTGCATAAGACATGGGAGATGTGATTTCTATTCCTGGCTCTGTCAGAAACTTCCTGTGTGATACTGGGCAAGCGGTATATCATCTCTGTGCTTCCATTTCCTCATGTGCACAATAGGGATAAAGAGTGCTTCCCCAGCTCATCGGTGAAATTAATGTAACATATGTAAAGTGCATGTATATCCCCAGATGAAAGGTGCCATTGTAATAATATTCAAATTATTATGGAAAATAGATAAAGCAACCAACCCCTGCTAAATGATCGTCTAGCTTTTCACCAGATTCATGAGATCCACGCAAAATGTGATAAGGAAACTTCAGATGTCAAGTGGTTTAGAGTCAGACTCTGCTCATGAAAGGGAGCTGGCTCTGCCTTTTAAGTGGAGGATGAGATAGTAGAGAATCTGGGGCTTGGAAAGTTGTTGCCGTGGTTAAGCTGCCCTGGTTTGCTGGATGTCACCGTTCATCTAGAGGGGAAGCCTGAGGAATACATCACCTGATGTCCAAATCAAGATCCAGGAAGCCTTCAGTGACACTGAAATCAAAGAGATAAAGCAAGGCTGTTTGTTTTCTCTGACTCTAGTGACTGCATACGGATTGGGATATCTAAGAAAGGTCACAGGCAGATGGAGGTGACAAAGCAGAGACTGGGTGAATTGGATTAGTCAGAACACTTAACCCACATGGCTTATGTGAGACCTTTAACTAGAGGTAAAGGCAAGAGCTCTGGTGTCACTTGCAGAGCATTAGCAGATACTGCAATGGGAGGATGTTCAGGGCCAAGTACAGAAGTGATGATATCTCTTCTCTGATGTCCTTTGTGCATCTCTGCTTTTCCCCAGCATCACGGCAGGGTATGTTGGGACAGGATAGAGACCTCTGCCATATAAGCAGGATCCACGTTCTCAGGAATAGGGTTGTATCTGAGCAAGGCTGGTAGTAGGTAGACATTTGTATGTTTTCGCTGAAGCAAATGTACCTCCTTCCATTGTGAAGGTGCTGGCATGGCCTGTGAAAGAGCCATACCGGGTTCACTGAAAACCTGAACTCACTGGAGGTTTGACTCCAAAAGTGCTGTGCAGGTCTCTTCTGGCGCCATTGTACAGTTGCCCAGCACCAAATGCTCAATTATAGACAAAATTGAATTTACAATTTGCTTTTGGGCAATGTGTAAATTGGCCCTTCATTGATTATTAATGAAGTGCTAATTGCTCTTTGCAACCAATTTTTATGCAAATGCTATTAGTGCTATTTGCACAATCCTGCAATTTACAGTTTTACATTTGCAATGGCCTGGTGAAAAGATGTGAAAAGATGACAGCTTGTCCTAAAAGAAAACAAGAAGGGGAGGGGGGGAGGATATTGCAAAACTTGCAAAACTTGGCGTAGCAAAATAACACAATTAGGAAGGAGAAAACATCTAAAAACCCCAAACGAACAAACAAACTCTCCCTCTTTATTGATTGTTACAGATTCAGCGTTGACAGGGGTTGTTCTGAATGTAACAGGATCCCATGGCAGACGTAAACCAGACTCCAGGCGTTTGCTGTGTGTTTCACCGAGGAGGTCAGTGTATGAATTTGCCTGTGAAAACATTGATGCTGGCTGCCAGCATTACCCATTCAAGAGCCGGGTGCTTTTCTCGGTGACAAATGACGTGGTGTTAGTTTGTGAATCAAGTGTGGGCAGCTGATGGACTGTTCTGGCGCAGAGCTCCTCTCCGAGATAACACCTCTCCCCTGCATGGGGCTAAGAGCTGAGCCCTCATGGTCATCTGCCCATGGTTGGTGTAAATCCACAGCCCTCCTTTGCCACCACACCGGGCTTCTTTAGTCCTCCTTTTGCTTCCACATCACACCAACGCCTTGTAGATGGTTCAGGGGGTTGTATTTTGGCTGGGTCCTGCAGCACAAGGGTGCTGTGAGTCTCACTTCACTAGTGGGGAATGAGGGTTTAGTATGGGCTTGTTTGCAGGTCTGTTTTCCTTAGAGGCTCTGGGTGTTGCTACCTGCTCTGAGGCTTCACGAGAAGCCTTTGGTGGAGCAGGAAATCAGATTCAGCTCCAAGCTATCCCCCAGGTGCTTCTCCTCTATCAGACTTTTCAGGTGTTTGGGGCCTCACCTGCTGCTGGGTGACATGTTGCTGGTGGAGCAGGGCTTGCTGAGCCCCTAACAGGCATGGGTAGGCTGTCATCATTAGGACCCAAGGAAGCCACAGGTAGTCCTTGTGTGATGGGATAATAGGAAACAGCTCATACAAGTGGCTGTGTGGACAGCACGAGCCAGGCATCTTGAAATTAAGCATGATTTTGGGAGCCTCAAGCAGGGCACCATGAAAGTGGATGTCAGCTTGAAGTTACCTGTATTGGGGAGGATGAAGCAACAGGAGAGTTTATTGTTAATTCACAGCCACTCTTTTATTATTCATTTTATCGCTTATATCATTGATCAGAAAGATGCTGGTTTTACACACAGCTCCTATATTCATACATCCAGGGATCCTGTTTATTCTTTGGCTAGAGAAGCGCACCAGGATCTGGTGCTGAGCTGCTTGTTCACAGCAGCTCCTGGTCTCTCTAAAGCTGCGTCTTTTCCAGGTGTCCCTCTGTGCTTTAGAAATTCACTGTGCCCTTCCTCCTGACATACATGACCTACCCTTAGCCATGGTAATGTCTTTTGCTGGGTGGGATGCTTCCAGGCAGCCAAGAGATCTCAGCTGCACTTGTTTCCACTCTGGTTTTGGGTCATGCCCAGCTTTCCCAGCAGTGATTTAAAGTTTTCTTTCCAGAGCCTTATGAGCTAGATTTCGTGCCATTCTTGTCTTCAGCTTTCAAAGGATGAGGAAGCAAGTGGATCACTGCCCAGGTGTGTTACCCCCATCCAGACCTCACTAAAGGCAATGTCTCAGGTCCATGGCAGAGCATCTGATGCAAGTCAAGGTCCCTTTGCTGCTCTATTGTGATGAGCAGGTGCTGCTGCCAGGGCTTTCCCATGGTTCACGGTCCCTGCCGGCTCTCCCTCCTCGGTCAGCAGCGCAGGAATTCTGCTGCAGCCACAGGGATCACCGCTGGGTGCATCGCTCCCTCCGGCAGCACGGCGACATTTCCTCTTGCTTTATTGCAGCGCGGGTGTTTTCCTCCATGGGACGCTGCTCCTGGCATGGTTACTGATGGTACAGGAAGCACAAGGGTACCGGGATGCGACGGGCACGGAGGATGGCTGGAGCCGCGGGTCTCTTCCCCGAGGAGCTGCGTGCTGTAAGGCCCCGCACAGACACAGCGTGGCACTCTTTTCCACAGCACAATGCCTGGTGCCTATGGGAGCCTGTCCCCATGCCTGACCCCATCCCTGACCTCCCCATCCCTGTCGCTCACCCTCCAACCCAAAGCCGGTGCTTCCCTGAGCATCACAGCTCAGAGACCTGAGCATCCCAGGGCTCAGCCTCAGGAAAGCACTCAGAGATGCTCAGAGCATATGTCAGGATATGCGTACCTATAACCACAAATATTACATAGATAGATCATGAAATAGTTTTCAGGGGACTAAAATCTTCATTTTTAATCCTGGCAGAACTGCTTGGATGTGACTTTGAGGTACTGTTGGTTTGCCTTGGTTTTGGGGGATATAATCTGCTTTTTAAGGGTGGATGTGGCCCTAATCTGCATGAGGACACAGATGTTTGAGGTTTCAGGAGATGGGAATGCAACCAAATCACCCTGAGATAAAAGGTACCCGGCCAGCTCCCCCAGTAATGCCCTGCTTGGTGCCTGGGGTAAAACATGCATTGTACCTAGGAGGAATTGCTTAGCCTAGAATAAATCAAGGAGTTGAGCTTGGCCTTGGCCTGTGTGGCTGGTGACTTTGGACAAGTCTCCTGGTACTTTAAGGTGAGCGTAACAGCACTCACAGACCCTCAGGAGCACTGCCCTGGGTGCACACAGCCTGCAACCCTGTCGGGACCCCCCTAAAACGCAGACATCAGTGCCATGCTCCTGGTCCCATCAGTGCTGTGCTCCTGATCCTGGAGGAAGAGGGTTGCAGCTTCCATTTAAATAACTGTTGCCAGGGTTTCGGCAGTGAATTGTTCCGTCTCCCAGACAGGATCCCTTGTTAGCAGGGGGCTATCTGGGGATCACCCCCCCTCCCTGTGTTGCCAGGGCACCTCAACCAGAGGGACTTTCTGCATCTCATTCTGCCTTTTGTTTTCCAATACACTGGCCCAGACTTGGCTGAGCATCTCCATGCACCTCAGCTTGCTGACAGGGTGCGTGTATATATATATATATATATATATATATATACACACACAGGGGTGTTTAACCCAAAAGAGCTCTGCTCTGCCACTGCAGCTGGGTTCTCATGTCTTTGCCTTTGTTTTTATAGAGGTGGGGGGAAAGGTTGTTCTGCTGGACCACTGAGTGTCTCGTGGGTCAGTCTGTATCACTTTGCCACTAGGATGTCATACGTACACTGAGGTCCCAGCACAGCAGATCAGTGTTGGGCTTCCCTTAGCCAGGTGGGCACCTTGAGGAAAGGCAAACTTGGGATGGTGAGACAGGAGGGGAATAAACTTGCTTAAGCTGTTTTGGCTTTCAGATTCCCTCCTGGCTTGAAGTATGCTTTAACTTCCAGCATTTTCTTCTGTTTTCTTTCCAGTATCTGGTTTGGAAGGCTATTCCACCAATGAAATAGGAATAAAGTTGTGTTTCCCTCACTCTTTAGCAGTGGCTGCCATCAGCAGTAGCGGTCTGGGGTAGTCTTGTTCAATTCATCCTTAGTCTTCCGACAGCACAGGGAGGTTCAGAAGATGGAGAAGGAAACCTCTCCTCCATCCCATACAGGAACACTTCCCTCCATGTGCTGCTGGGGTTTGGTGTGCATACAAAGTCCCTCCTCCCCACGGAAAACAAAACCCAAAAGAAGCTGTGGTCCCTTCCTTTTGGGGAACCAGCAGGACCTCATTTTAAATCGCCCACATTTGAGGGACGGGTATTTTAAATATGACGTTATAAAAATGTAGTCAATATTTAATTTTATTTTTATTAAACACTAAATTGATGACGCCTGACACCTCATTAAAGTGTCAAAGTGAGTGTTCCTACATTCTAATTACTTATTCTAACAAGGAGGCAGCCTCCTCAGGAGCTGCGTGCGCAGGCGAGGGGCGCTCCCTTTAAGTAACACCTATTAAACTATCATTTGCACCTAGAGGCATCTCATTAATATCTCAACTGGTGAGACTGCGCTGCCAGTGCCTACCTGACCTGGGGCGTTGACAGAAGAAATGGCTCCAGGAGGCCTTTCCTCTCTCCAGGCTCTCCTGTACAAATAATTCCTATAAAATTAATAACGACTATTCCACTTAATTGAATTCCTGATAAATGAAGATTCTTCCAGGCCCCTGTTAAATGCATCCAAGAGATGCAGGAGGAGTGCTGCATCGCAGTCTGGCAAAGTTTTGTTCTTCTCCTCCCTCCCCTCCCCGCTTCCTTCATCTCTCCAAGGCTCTTCCCACTGTATACATCCCTCCTGCTGCTCCCTTCTTATCACTTTTCCTTCCTATCCTGACCATGTCTTCTCTTTTCTGCAGCAGTTTCCTTTTTGATCTCCCATTTGAGTCCCTCCAACTCTCTGCCTCTGCCTGGATCTACCTTTATGGCTATCTCAATTATTCATTTTCTGTCTGGATCTGCCTTCTTCTTTCCTCTGTTCCCCTTCATCTTTCTTTCCCCTTCTTCCATCTTCCATTTGGCTCTTCATCTCACCAATAAAAGCCGTTTTTCTCTGGCTTCCTCTCAGGCCCTGCAATAGTTGACTTAAAGGAAGCTCCTCCCTGCTGTGAGATCTCTGTTGGATGAGGTCGTGGCATTGCACTTTCAGAGCTGTCCAGTCCACGAGAGGATATCCTTCCCAAAACACTTACGGAACATGCAAATCTTCTTTTATCCCATCTTCACCGTGGATGGAGAAGTACCTGTGTAAGAAGAAGAGATGGTCCCAGACAGAGTTGATACAGTCCCCACTTGGATGCCAAATCATTGCAAGAGAGGTAATTGGCTTCTGTGAGGGACACTTTGGAGTCTGAGGGCTTTTTGTTGCACCGCAGGGCTGTCTTTAGTGTCATTTGTTCTGCTCCTGGCAGTAAAGAGGCTGCCTTTTTTGCTCTTATCTTGTGCAGATGCCTTACTGGCATGGGCTTTGGCCATCAGTTGGGGTTCGCTTTTTGTCTTTCCTTTAATAAACATAAAAATACCCACTAAAAAATTCCATTCTAATTTTATTTCATACCAATTAGGAAAACAAACTAGAAACAACACTTAATATTAAAAACACCAACTCGAGATTCAAAGCAAGCAACTTAAAAATAAATAAATACATAATGGAAAAAAACATCATTAAATAACACATGAATAGCAAGTAATGGGATTTTAATCTTCTTGCTAGCAGAGGCTACATCTGCAGCTCTAAAGGTGACTCGCGAGCAGCATCACTCCGGGAAAGTTAAAAGTGATAATTTGATGAGACTCAATGATGGTGTAGGATGTTTTTCACATTTTACTCTAAAAG